AGGCAGCAGCTGGCTCTGGGGTGTTCCTCACAGATCCCTGTGCCATCAGCTGCAAAGCTCTCAGCAAGGCTGTCCTAAAGGAAGCTGCCCTGGGAAAGCCAACGTGGTGCAGCTCCAACGGGAAAAGAATCCCAGAATCAGGAAGGTTGCAAAAGAGCTCCAAGATCATCGAGTCCAACCTGGGACCTCTCTGAGCTGGCTCCCTGAATCCCTGTAACCAAGCCCCGGCACTGGGCTCTGCGTGTGGAGCTGGAGAGGCGAGGGGCCCTGGCCCTCAGCCACTGCCATCCTTGCCATGGCCCTCACACATCTCCCCTCAGCACTGGGCCATCGTCCCTTGGCATGGTCCCTCAGCCAGCTCCCTCAGACCTCACCCTCAGTGCCCTCGCCCTCAGCCCTCCCCTTCAGTGCCCTCGCCCTCAGCCATCACCCCTCACCCCTCAGCCATTGCCCTCAGCCCCCAACGCCCTTTGAAATCCATCCCGGGGCTCGCCCCGGCCTCACACAGGGAGCTGCCGCGCTCCAGCTGTCGCTCAGCACTGGGGGGGGATTTGTTCTCGCCCCAGGGCTTGGGGTTTGCAGCTGCTCTTTCAGTCCCTTTGTAGAGCCTGCCTGTGAAGAGAAGCCCCCCAGGAGAGCAGAGCCCGCTGCAGGAGCCAACATCCTCACCCTAACCAAGGGATGACACAGCACTTAGTGCTGCAAAGATTGCAGCTGTTCCCAGGCCACAAAGAAAGCTGAAACTGCTCCACTTGGCATTTGCTTGCCCATCTCGCTCTAAAATTACATCCCAAGATGTCAATGTTCAAGACAAGGGCTTAGATTGAGATGGACTGTGCTGGGGAGCCTTTGAAACCCAGCCTCCTGCCTGACCTCACTGCTACTGCAGTTGCTTGGACAGTGCTTGGAGTCTTTCAGTTGGATTCATATGTTTCTTAGAACGTTCCGTGTAGATTATTGGCTAGTAGGACAAGGACGTATGGATATGGCTAAAGCTATGGACGAGCTGTTAGTGTATAGAACACAGCTTGTCTTTGCCGATGAGAAAATCTGAGATAGCAAGGTCATGGCAAGACTGCAGTGTGCTTGTACGTGCTAGTTTGCTGGTAAACAGGACGTTTTGATTAGCAAAACAAAAGAAACTGAGAGCCACCTGTGTCAACAAAAGAAGGGAGGAAAGGCGGAATCAACATTTTAAGCAAGAACCAATAATGAACTTAGCTTTGCAATATGTATGAGCTAATTATAAAGCATTTATTAAGCTGTTAGCAGTGATCAATAAATGAAGCTTGCTGATTCTCATATTGAGCGTCTCTCTCTTCCCTCGTCGTGACAAATGGCGCCGAGCAAGGGACAATAACGAGTATCCTGCTGGGTTTTGCACAGTTACCCGCGGTCCCCGAAGTCTGAACAGGGGCTAAATTAAATCTGCAGTCCCAGGGACTAAGTTGAATCTGCAGTCCCCGAAGCCATGGTCCAACGCAGTAGCCCGTCGGTCTTGCAGCAGCACAAGAGGCGAAAGAGCTGGACTCCGTGCCCCGGGCGACCTCATAGGAGAGTCTTAGCCGACAACGCCGCCGACGTCATGTAAAGGGTTGCAACAGCGTGTTGAAGATTTTTAGGTATGGAAAGACAAGTGGTGCTTTCATTACTCAGGTGCTTTTTAGAAATTGGGGATTTAAGTGTATAGATTTTAAAAAAGAATTACCAGGGTTGCTTGCGGCGGGGGTTGCTAAAGGTTGTTTTGTGGACCCTAATACAGTTTTTGATGAAGGGGAATGGAGACGTTATGGGGATAAGTTATGGGAGGATTCATTAAATTATGATAAGGTAGCCAAGAAATTAGGCAAGCAGTGGTGGGTTGTTATTAACGCTTTACAACAACATAAAGCCGAGCAGCAAGCTGCTCGAGCCGTTGCACAGCGCTTGGGCGACACCAGCAGTTCTCCTGCTGCTGAGTCTCCCTGCCCGCTCCCCCCTCGACTAATGATATACATATTCCACCTGAGTCCCAAACGCAGACCTTTATTACTCCTACTGCCCCTTCACCAGAGTTCCCCAGCCCGTCAGATTTCCTGGACACCCCCGAACCCCAGCAGATCTCATCTGACGGGGCTGATTCACTTTCCTTACCTGATGAGTCAAGTACTGTCGCAACAGAGCGACGGAAGCTATGGCAAAGTATTGCCGCAGACGCTTTACAAGCGGGGGATAAAGAAGCAGCAGAAGCTTTAACCAGTGCCTTTCCTGTGGTTTATGTTCCGGCAGCAGAGGGTGGGCTGATAGCGACTATTACTACCCTTGATTGGAAATTGTTTTCGCAATTGCGTTCTACTGTTGATGAGGGTGGAATCCAGGGTGAGCCTACCCGACAAATATTAAATTTCATTTGGGGAGGCAACTTGCTTTTACCAGGAGATATTAGAAGCATTATAAAGTTGATTCTTTCCCAACATCAGCAGATGTTACATAATGCAAATTGGCAGGCGTATTGTCAGGAATCTGTTGCTGTTCAAAGACAGGCGGCTGACCCTTTGCACGGGGTTACATTAGAAGAATTAATGGGCATAGGACAGTACAGTAGAACAGAAGCGCAAGCGTTATTGGGACCGGATAAGATCAGGGAATCTATGCGCTTAGCCCATCTTGCTCTGGATAAGATCAAAGCTCCCGGGGGAGTTCCATCGTATATGAGAATCAAGCAGAGAAGGGATGAACATTTTGGGTCGTTTATAGACAGAGTTGCTAATGCTATCCAGTCAGCCGGGGTTCCTGAATATATGCATGGAGCCTTGTTAAAAAAATGCGCTTTGCAGAACTGTAATTCCACAGCTCGCTACATTATTGTCATGCTTCCGGGGAATTGGTCAATTGAGGAGCTGTTAGAGCGAATGGCACAAATACCCCAGGGGCCCAATTCTATGCTAGTGGAAGCGGTTAAGGAACTGGGTGAGGGCTTAAAGGAGCAAGCTAAGGTATTAGCTCTCAGGTATTAGCCGCGCTTGCGCCCCTACAAGCTTCGACCGGAGCTGTGGAACGAAGCAAGACAACAAAATTACGCTCTTTTTGATGCGGAGCTCCCGATCACATGCGAAGAGAATGTCGGTCTGGTCCAGTGTGGTGTTCACGTTGTCAGCAGGATACATGTGCTACCACTATATGCCGACGCAGGACGGGAAACGGGAAAGCCAGCGCAAGACACAAATGACGGTTCCAGACGCTCACAGCTTCCCAGCTCAGACTTCACACTGCATCCCGCCACCAGAGGGTGTCTCGGACTGGATTTGGCAGCAGCAATAGACTGTACCCTTACAGATCAACATCCTCAAAGAATACCAACAGGAGTGCATGGACCGGTGTTGATTAACGGCAAACCAGTGGGGGCTTTGTTAATAGGTCAGTCCTCATCCACAATGGCTGGATTAAGTGTTTTAGTGGGACTGATTGATGCCGATTACACTGGAGAAATATCGATTACGGTTAATATATTATTTCCACCTTTGCACATACCTGCTCGATCTCGCATGGCACAATTGATACCACTTCCTCAAATCACTTCTGAACTGTCAGATAAGCCTGAACGAGGAGATCAAGGCTTTGGATCCACTGGTGTATCAGCTCTTCTAACAATAGACTTGGCCAGACGACCACGAAAGGACATTCAGACGCAATGGGACTTACAAACTGTACATTTAGTTGCCTTATTGGATACGGGAGCTGATGTCAGCATTATCGCAGCTCACATGTGGCCCACATCATGGCCCTTGGTGAATACAGGTGAATACTCCCGCAGTTGCGGGAGTGGGTTGTCTTACTCTGGCAAAAAGATCCCCTCCAATTACTATCATCATAGATGGAATGACTGTGAACTGTACTTTGTCTGTTCTCCCCCTACCCGATGGAGTGCAAGCACTAATAGGGAGAGACGTTCTTGCTCAGATGGGGATGGTTCTAACTAATTAACCAAGACCCTCTTTAGCATGACAGCCATTGCCTGGACTTTCCCGATCCCTCTCCAATGGAAAACAGAAACGCCGGTGTGGGTAGAGCAATGGCCCTTAAAAAGGGAAAGTCTATTAGAAGCACATGCCTTGGTGTCAGAACAATTACAACAGGGACACTTGCGTTTATCAACGATTTCTTGGAATACTCCTGTCTTTGTAATCAGGAAAAAATCTGGAAAGAACAGGATTTTACATGATCTACGTGCAGTAAATGCCCAGATGCATACTATGGGGGCACTACAACCAGGACTACCAAACCCAACTATGCTCCCACACAATTGGTTCCTGTTAATAATTGATCTTAAGGACTGTTTTTTCACTATTGCATTGCATGAGCAAGATCATTCACTGCCCCTGCTATAAACAAAGAGGGACCAGCGCAGCGTTTTGTGTGGACAGTGTTACCTCAGGGGATGAAAAATTCTCCCACATTTTGTCTGCTTTACGTGGATGCTGCATTACAGCCAATTAGAAAATCATGGCCCTCTACAGTGATCTACCACCACATGGATGATTTACTGTTTGCTCAGTCCACTAATTTTACAGAAAATCAAAACCAGCAGTTAGTTAACCGGTGGCAGCAACAAGGTTTAGTCATAGCCACTGAGAAAATTCAAGAATCCAGTCCCTGGCATTATTTAGGCTGGCAAATCCCAGACTCTGTCATTCGGCCTCAAAGGTTATCAATCAATACAGAGATTGCCACCTTGCACGATGCTCAAGATTCTTAGGAGATTTACAGTGGCTGCATCCGGTAGTAGGAATACCCAACGAATGGCTGGAACCCCTCAGACCGCTATTAAAGGGTACAGACCCTTCAACAGCAGTAACTGTCACCCCAGAACAGCGAAACATCTTACATCAGATCACAGCCAGTATTACTAATCATGTTACACACCAACGGATAGAAGGCGTACCTGGCAACCTTACCATTTTGGCAGGAGAGAAACATTTAATGAGAGCCCTTACACAACAACAAAGAATAAAAACGGGGGTGAATCAGGGGCGACTTGCAGCATCAACAAAAGAGCAACAAATTGTGTTGGAGTGGCTGACAACATCCTTACAGCCACGCAGAACAATTCAAGAAAAAATTCGGACATTAGCAGACCTTATAAAAAAGGCAGGAACCGAATTGTGCAAGCAACAGTTTTGGAGCCATATGAAATACAAGTGCCAATAAAACAAGAAGACTTAGACTGGTATTTAGTCCATTCTCCTGAACTACAAGGAGTACTACTTGTGACTGACGCCACCATTAATATCCATCCTTTGCGGTCAACGACGCTGGCCTGGATAGCTAATCAGGCATGGCTGCAGGTTCCAAAGCGATCCGCAACACCACTCCAGGATGCAGTCACAGTATTTACTGACGCTGGAAAAAGATCGCAACGTGCGGTGGCCACCCGGAAACAAGAAGGGCGGTGGCATCAACATTTCCTGGATGCTCAGTCAAAACACTACAAACACTACTTACAAACACTAGAACTTGCAGCTGTTGTATGGGCATTGTCTCATTGGTTAGATTATGCACTTAATGTGGTTACGGACTCAATGTATGTTGCGGGGTGGCTAATCGAATTGAAGACGCTAGCATCAGAGAAGTTAAGAACGCCAGACTCATGCAACTCTTACAGCAGCTCCACAAAGCAATTGCTTATCGGTCAGCTAAATACGCTGTGTTGCACATCAGAAGCCATCAATGGGACATAGGGTTGGGAGAAGGAAATGCCAGAGAAGATCATTTAGTGTCAGCAGTAACAGAAGCCCCTATATCTCCCTTCCTTAGAGCATGTGAGGCTCATGCCAGATATCACCAAAATGCGAAGGGTCTTAGTCATTCATATGGACTATCAGTCGAGGATGCCAGAGCAATAGTGAAAGCATGCCCTATTTGTAGTCAGCAAAACAAAGGAGTGGGTCTTGGAGTAGAAGTCAATCCCAAAGGACTAAAAGCTAATGAGTTGTGGCAGATGGATGTCACACATGTTCCTGTTTTTGTCGTTTGAAATACGTGCATGTATCAATAGATACTTACAGTCATTTCGTATGGGTCACGCTGCAGCCTGGAGAAAAAATTCAAGATGTAAAACGACATTTGACAGATTGTTTTGCCGTCATGGGTGTCCCTAAAACACTGAAAAGAGATAATGGACCTGCCTATATTAGCAGGACTCTAGGACAATTTTTACAACAATGGGACATAAAACATGTTACGGGCATAGCTCATTCGCCTACTGGACAAGCTATAGTGGAGCGAATGAATGGAACAATTAAAATCTACTTTGAAAAATACAAGGACATCAAGGACGCTCGAGAGCGAGTCAGCAAAGCCCTTTTTGTGCTTAATCATTTATGTATTTTTGGAAATGATTCAGTGCCTCCTATCATTAAGAATTATCAGAAGGAACAGGTGTTGAAAGGACCATCCATGATGGTTCATTATCGAGACCCCAAAACCGGAATGTGGGAAGGTCCAGCAGAAGTCATCTTTATAGGCCGAGGTTATTTCTGTGTGTCTACTTCTACAGGTACCTTGTGGGTTCCCAGTCGCTGGGTCAAGCCAGCGGTTGTGAGTCCTGGAGGACGAGGAGAAGAGACATCTACGGTGCCTGCGGCTTCACCTGGCCTTGGACCACCACCTCCAACCTCTCCAGCACCTGATTCCCTCGCGCCTGCTGACATGGGAGACACTGGAACAGCACCTTGATTTAACTGAATGACTGTACACCTTTAGACTGCAAGGCCCAGCTGGCACAAACTGCCTAGCCTGTACACAAAAGAACTGTAGAGCCTGGGTGAAACAGTAGAACAGCATTAAATTGCATTGGAATGGTGGGAGGTGCACGAGGATACTCGCCCAGTCTTGATCAACTGTTTTTGCATATTAGTGTGGCAAAGATGTTAGGATTCCCTATCATCGGATTGTATTCCCGCAAAATTGGGAACGGTTGTGTAATAAGTTTTCTTCTTTTCATGGGCATGATTGCCAGTGTTAAAACTCTTCACACCATTGATCCTCAGAAAAACATGTGGGTTACTTGGGCAAATCAAATAGGTCAATCGTCCTTTTGTTGGTCTTTAGCATCTGCCTCAGATCCTTTTTGCAGTTGTTTATTTGGCATGCCTTTTAGTTCAGTATACAAGTTGAATTGTTTACTGGTTGGGTTTCATCGTCGTGTGGGAGTGAAACAGTTATTTCTAATGTATCTGCCTGCCTTATAAAGGCTCTCAACACCTCTTTGCCCTGGGATCCCCAAGAGTTAAATTTAATGGGATCACTGTCTGTACGTAACACAAGTGATAATAGGACTCAAACCTGTTTTATGTTGGGATTATTTTAATCTGGATTAAGTGTTTATCAAAGCCACAACTTGTCCAGCTGGACTAATGTCACTTCGCCTACCCTAAGGTTTAATTACAAAAATACAGGAGACTATTGTGGTACTAATAATAGTAACAACCAAAGCCTTGGAGCATATGGAGCTGAATAAGGCCTTCCTCTCTGGGCATTTGGGTTAACAACACTGCACGCGCTTTTCCACCAGGTGTGTTTCTTATTTGTGGTGACAGAGTTTGGCCGGCATACCTGTACGTGCCTTCTGGGGGCCCTGTTATATAGGGTCACTTACGCTGTTGTCCCCGTCTTTTTTACAACTCGTTAATCTGACTTCATCACGCAGGCAAAAGAGGAGCCTAGACCAACTTTCCTCAGACTGTGATGACAAGGTCGAACTATGGGGTAAAACAGCTGCTCCTTTTAGATCCGTTATCCCAGGGATAGGCACGGCACAAGCGCTAACATCTGTTTGCAAACTTGCATGCTGGGCTGTGAAACAATCAAATATAACCACCCGAATAATAGCAGAGCTTGCACAAGACATTAATAGTTTATGTCATGCTGTATTACAAAATCGAGCTGCTATTGATTTTCTGTTGTTAGCACATGGCCATGGCTGTAAGGACTTTGATGGTATGTGTTGTTTTAATCTTTCAGACCATAGTAACTCCATACACAAACAACTACAGTGGTTAACAGAACACACAAAGAAAGTAACGGTAGCAACTAGTTCTGTAGACTTGTGGCTTCAATCTATTTTTGGTTCTGTGTGTGAATGGGTTTTAAGATTTGTTAAAGAAGGCCTACGATGGCTGTTGACAATAGTTGTAATTTTAGTAGTAGTTCGTATTGCTTTTTCTTGTATTGTTAAACGTGTAAGTGCTATGACAGAGAGAGTATTGTAGGCCCAGAATAAAAACTGGGGAATTATAGAGGATTGGCTAGCAGCACAAGGACATATGGATATGGCTAAAGCTATGGACGAGCTGTTAGAGTATAGAACACAGCTTGTCTAGGCTGATGAGAAAATCTGAGATAGCAAGGTCATGGCAAGACTACAGTGTGCTTGTACTTGCTAGTTGGCTGGTAAACAGGTTTTTGTGATTAGCAAAACAAAGGCAACTGAGAGCCACCTGTGTCAACAAAAGAGAGTAAAGGCAGAATCAACATTTAAGCAAGAACCAATAATGAGCTTAGCTTTGCAATATGTATGAGCTAATTATAAAGCATATATTAAGCTGTTAGCAGTGATCAATAAACAAAGCTTGCTGATTCTCATATTGAGCATCTCTCTCTCTTCCCTCGTCGCGACGGGGGGGGGGCTTGAACTTAAAAAGTAGATTCTTGGGAGTTTCAAACCACCCCTTTTTCTGCTGCCCCCAACCCCGGGTGTCCCCCAAGGAGCCCTCTGTGCCCCCAACAAACGCCCACCCGGGGACCTGCGGACGCAGTTGCAAGACCTCCAAGACAAGCTGGGCCAGGCCTGGGAGCGGCTCTGGAAGGTGCAAATGCAGAGATGGGGTCTGGAGTGTGAGAACGGGGTGCTCAAGGAGTGCCGGGAGCAGCTCCAGAGGGAGCTCAAGGAGTGCCGGGATCAGCTCCAGAGGGAGCTCAAGGAGTGCCGGGAGCAGCTCCAGAGGGANTAATTATAAAGCATATATTAAGCTGTTAGCAGTGATCAATAAATGAAGCTTGCTGATTCTCATATTGAGCGTCTCTCTCTTCCCTCGTCGCGACAGGCAATGGCTTTTGCCAAGTTGTGTGTGCAGCAAACAGACCTTGGTAATGTGGGCACACAGCGCAGCAGCCACAAGGTCTCAGGCATCAGTCATGAGGGAAACCTTTCTGACCATGTGAGCGTGCTGTGTGTAGGGAGTCAAACAGGGCACCCATCATCTCACTGGAGCCACCTGCTGCAAAGGGTTGAGGGATGCAAATAATCCTAAAGGGAGCATTTGTGCAGTAAGGTCTAATTGTTGGCTTAACTGATGCCTTGCTTTAATATATAATGGAAAGTCATTTGAACACCTTTAATACATGTGCATATACATTAACATGCCTTATTTATATGTACGTGTGTATATATAAATGTGTATATATCTTTTACATATGATATATATGATTTATATATATCATATATAATTTATATATATTATATATATCATATATATAACATGTATGATTTATATATGATATATATACATATAAATGTGTATATGGCCTTTATATGGTATATAATCTTTTATATATGATATATGATTTATATAAATATTAAATTTATTAGAAAGATTATATATGTGTATATATCTTTTATATTTCACGATGCCAAAGAACTAATTTTAATATATTATTTTGTTGCATATCAGCAATCTTATATGCACATATTAGTAT